TCATCAAGTTGAGCTAATATGCCAGAATCATGAAATGTAAATATCAAAATTAATTTTTTATACAAATTTAAGAAGAATGTAAAAGCTTGAATGAAATCAAATGAATTCTTAAAAGGGAAAGAAATAATTTTCAGGACCACTGAAAGATAAAAATATTATTATCCGCGTATTACTTTTTATATGACTGTTTCAAATGTTGTAATCAAATATCTTCAGACATAAAATAACGAGGTAAGGAATTTTTAAAATAAATAAAAATACTTATGTTTCCCAAAATTCAACAAAAAAGAATTTGAAATATAAAAAGTTTCAAGAACCATTCAGACATGTTTTTAAAAATATACCGATTCCTCTAGGAAGGATTAATAATTTCCTTTCTGTCTCAAAATTATGTTTTATTTTTAAAGATATGTACTTTTTGGAACTCTCCTTCTGGATAAATCCGTTGTATTGTTTGTATTGAATTTTAGGTCTAAGTTGTTTTGGCAGTTATTAATTAAATTGCATAGTAACAATTTAATAATTAAATAAGGCTAGAATTACAAAATAATACTTCTTAATCAAAAGAATTTGATATTTACCACTGTAACACACACACACACACAAAAAAAAAAAAAAAAAAAAATAGCTAAAGTATGAAGAGGCAAATACGTAAGTTCTTCGAGGAAGGAAGCATGAAAAATTAACTTTGTGTAAAGTTCTTCGATTAAGGAAGCATGAAAAACTAACTGTGTGTTCTCCAGAATTCGAACCACCAATTTTCCACTGCCAAGTAGACTTTTTAACCATTTACACCACGGCATCACGCAGGAGAACATGTATAGGGATGATGCCTTATATTACCCTTTAGGCGATTAGAGAAAGTAGGTACACTTAAAATATGTTGCTGTAGTCTTCCCTGTAGATGTACGCTGTAGATGATACTCTACAAAGAATAACACTGTAGTAAAACTTACAGAGATTCAGGTAATTTTCCTAAGAACCCTCATTGTTCTAAGTCATATAAAGTTTGGGCTATTATTGATTATTCTACCGTAGCTTTATGTCCATCTTGTAAAATAACTGCAATTGCTCAGTTTTGTCCATGCAAGAGTCTTAAATTCTCTGCTACTCTGATTTCTTATCAATGCAATAACATTTTTGAGTTTTACCAAACGGAATGAAATTTGCAAAGAATTTGTCGATGTAAGCTCAGTTGTTTAATTATATATGTAAAACGCTCGAAAACTATGCTTAACTAGAGCTAACTTAATATTGAAATTAAGTCTTTTAACTAAGTAGAGAAATAAATAAAGGTAATTAAAAATTAGCTATTTAAGAAACTTTTTGTAAAATCCAAGAAGTCATTTCATCCGTTCAGTCGCCGGAAGATATATCCGGTAAGAAGTTTACATGTGTTCGTCGACATTAAGCTTTCGACCACTGGCGACTCTATAGGGCTTTGTAGAGGTATACCATTGTAGAGAAGCACAAGTGTTATTTAAAAAAAGCATGCGTACATTTATATCTGCATGGTTACTATCTAAAATCTGAAAAGATGACAAATTTGAAAGATAGCTCAACAGTTTAAAGTCCGCCCTTATTTAGAATATTTTATTAAGATGAAACATTTGGTTTTATTCCACGTATATACGTTAAGATAGCCAGTATGGAGGAACATCATTTTCTTCTTTAAAAGGCGTGTAATTTATTCCCAAATTTCCTGGGAAAACAAGAACTGGAATGCATATTAAGCTTGAAAAGTTCGTTAGGTTCATGGAGCGGAAATAACCATTTCAAATAGCCTGTTCCATAGCTTATGTTTTGTAAGTATTGTTTCTCTCCCTCCCTCCTCTTCTTTGTCATTTACTTACTACGTGTCTCGTCATCGAATGCCTGTGTCACTTATATTACCGGCTTGTCGGCCTTCGCTTGGGCAGCCAGCTCCCTGCAAGCGGCCTTGGTCAGAAACTTCGTGACCGGCCGTATCAATGTCGAATGTCATGCTGGGCAGATTTACTACTTTGAGTAGATGACAAAACAGAATAAAAATTAATCCAAGCAAAAATCTGTGCTGTTAGGCTATAATAACTATGGTGTTGAGAAAAGGAGCATTTAATCTGATTTTTGTAACGCAAAACTTACATACTGCTGCATCGGAGGATGCGTTTTTTGTTAAAAGTAAAGATTATTTAAATTAGGAACTTCATAACTGTTATAAATATTATCCAAAGATGGGTTGATGGATTTATGTTCTTATAAATCCATTGTAAATTAATATGTGGAAAATAAATCTGATATATAAAATTCAGAGCAGTATCACTTAACTAAAACATACTCAGATGATCTACATCAGCAGTCGGGCCAGATTATGTAACACAAAGCCTGTTTTATAATAATAATGTACTTCAGATTTAATTTCATTTATCGAATATTGCACAATGGGTACAATATTCAATAAATTTCATTTATTGAGTATTGAATAAAGGGGGAAACACAATGGGTGGTGGGCTAACAAACACAGCTAAGAAACATAACGGATCCAGTATAGCAATTGAATACTGAATTTAATTTAACTGTTGGATCGTGGGTATATTGCAATAATAAGGCAATGAATATGTTTTGCTTCTAATAAAGCTGGAATGAAATAGCTGATAGAAATCCTTGGAACATCAGCATTTAACAAAAATTTAGCATATATAGTGTTCTTCAGGAATATATCAAATTCTGAAAAAACAGTTTATTTTTAGCAGAATTTTAATAAAATTCATATTGCCGCTTCAAAGTTATTCGGAAAACTTTCTTTTAATTCATATATAATAATGTAAATTATGAATGGGATTGGAAAACACTATCTTCTTCCTTAGGAAGGGTACAGAAAGGTTATTTTTATTCACTGAGTTTCCCGGAGCCGACAGACAACTGCTGATAATTGCTTTTTAATGACGTTACTCGAATGATCTGATTTAACACTAACACATTTTCAATTTGATTTGGTTGAATGATTTGACCTTGAATAAACAAGAGGCGCTCTTCACACTCTAATACTACTTCAAGATAAAATCAAAAAGTGAGTCACTTGGCAATGAAAGTCACTTGAAAAGTGAACTTGACGTAAAAATTGAAAATCATGCAGTAACGGTTATACTAAAACAAGTTATGTTCTCTAACTTCAAGTTAACTCTCTAATGCTTACAGGTTTGTCGAACCAATAGGAAATATAGTGAGCTAACAAACAACAGGCGAGCTATTCACCCACTCGAGAGACTCTAAAAAGCGGACGAAAGCAACTATTCCTTTTTTTTGGCAACTCAAGATGAAAAACCAGGGAACATTAATCGAAAAATAAAGAACTATCGAGTATGTAAATGTGTCCCTATAATAGGTTTATAAGTGGAACCCTTGAAAAGGCACTTCCTGGCAAAGTTCAGTAAGGGTAATGAGATATAAAAGGCGGTGCAACTGTGGCTATGCATTCAATCAGAGGAGATTTTTCTTCCAGTTTTGCAATCCAGGTATTGCTGAAATGCTGCTCAAAATGTAATGGAAAAATTATGAAATGGTTATAGAGTTATTTACGTATATTTTTGCTAATAAAAAGTGTTAAGATTATTTTTTGACTATTTTTTTTTCATTTGACACGTGATGCGTCTTAACCAGATGCAGAAATGATAGAAGTAAAGTAATCGCGGGTAAAGTGTTTGTTGAATCGCATCTCAAAAAAAGTTAATTGTACTGCTCAGCATTAGCTCTTTGCTCCATTCATTCTTTTTCATGATTTATGAAGTTTATTTTACCTAACTTTCTATCTTAGTTGTCCCTTTCAGTTTAATATATTTTTTCCCTCCTGCGGAAGGGGGGAGGATTGCTGCATGATTTACATAGATACTAGTGTCGAGTGCAACTTTGAGGAATTCACATCCACTTTATATCCACGAATTGAAAATTATTTGATCGAATGTATAGAACTACGTTCAGTACCATTTTTCATAAAAATAATACATGTTTTTATGTCGTTCTGCTTCTGTCTCGTTTTAATTATATAAATGTCTAACATGAGTTTTGAAAATATATTGCTAAATAAATTTAAATTAATACGATTTGAATACAGGAAAAAATAATTGTTAATAATTTTTTAAAACGTTTATTTTTTTGCCCTATATATGGATACATATAAAGACTGAAAACAGGAAATTTGAAATTTGAATATAGGTTATAAGTAGTACGTAGTAAAGATTAAATTTAAGTTTGATGTAATTAAATTAAAATATCCTCCTTCCATGCAATTTACAAATAAAATGAAGAAAAAGAACGCTAAAAGGCATACAAGCTTCAAATAGTTTTATCAGAAGAGAAGCGGACATTTTTTACTATAATGTTACTTTATAAATTACCAGAAACATAACATAAACAGTTATGTTTCTGGTAATTTATAAAGTAACATTATAGTAAAAAATGTCCGCTTCTCTTCTGATAAAATTAAATTATTCTCTTCTATTAAAAATATTCTGCGTTAATTGCAGAATATTACAGTTACTTTTAAAAGTTATTCCAGTTTCTTGCAGAATTTTAAATTAAAGTTTTAAGACCTCATTCAAGTGGAATGGCAATAATCGGAAAGTTCTGCTTTCAAGCAGAGAAGGGCGCTAAATCTAGTTTAGAACTAACTGCCTTTGCTAATTACGTCATTTCACCTGACAAAGCCCTTGGTTTCATCATTCTTCCTTCAAGATAGCCTTGGCTGAGGGTTTCCTACACCTTCAAGGCTATAGCTTAAAACTGGCATCTGATCCCAAAATGCCCTGCTTCGAATGCAAACGCAAAGCTTTTTGCCGCCCAACGTAATGTCTGAAGTTTCTAAATTTCGCCGCTCGGTGTCTACAAAAATTTAAACCGGTTGTACCGTTCTGGCGCAGGCACTGCCAGGCTGCTAATATCAATTAAGCTAAAATTACGCAGATTAATGTTTGAAAAATTTCTATTGAAAAGTTAAGTAATGAAATTAATTAAAATTAACTTACCATCTTCAACTAATCGAAGAACGATCTTGGCAATATTCTGTACTTGCTGCATTGAGAATTCTGCTGATGCATCCGACTCCATTGCTAGATCTAAAATCCTCTGGTGAAGGATAATCTTAATCAGAAATGAATGAGAAACAAGCATAATTTCATGGCTCACTCACAAAATAAATATATCTAGAAATGTACGTTTCCTAATACGTGTGATAATCAAGCTCGACATATAAGATAACTCCGCTTTTTATAGAATTCGTACAAGGTGTACTATTTGTTTTGTTCGCATTATTACTACACAGGTTATTCGAAAAATAGCTACAGACATTTTCTTTTTAATTTATTGATCCTCAACACGCAATGGTAAATTTTCTAAATATAAGGCATATTTTGTAAATGTTACAAAGACAGTTTCAATCTAAATCAGCATTGTCGGTGGAAAAAATGGAAAAATAAATCTATTTTTTTAAAAATAGTCTCCACAGTAATAATAATTTTTATGCATTAACCAATGCAATTTAAGACTTTTGGGAAAGAGTTTAGGACGCAGTTACAAACGTTGCTTGCATTAACTATTAATAATTTTTCCTTGGTTAAAAAGCATTCTTAAATTTGCAATAAGCAGCTTAAAAATATTTGCTACATTTCGAGTTATAAATGTAAAGGTTTGAAACAATTTGTTTTTAACAAAACCATGATAAATATATTCAAAATTGGATCTAAGCGAGCAATATATATATATATATATATATATATATATATATATATAAAGCTGATATTATTTTTACCGGAATTTCCATCCACAGTGTTGAAATTATTTTCACAGAAACTTAACATGAAGCAAACGAAAGAAATTCAGGAAATGCACTTGATGTACAAAACTAAAAGAGTAGAATTTTAAAACGAAATTTATACGTCAAATATGTGATCTTGCCTTGTTCTTTAGGACGTTATCTTTCTTTCTTTTTCTTCTTCCTTTTTTTTTAAGTACAATATTGATTTTATAGTTATTTCAATATTAGTTCTTTTTTTTTTTTTTTAAAAAAAAAAGGAAATGTATTAATATAATTTCCCTTCTCCTACTATTTAATATTTGTAACATTAAATTCATTTTGGTTTCTAACCTTTTAAAACTATCCGGGAATGATCTACCCGTCTTAACGTTTCATTCGCAAAATCCTAATAAATTACAGCACTATAAAAGCAACTAAAGATTATTTGTGCAGTTTGAAGTTATAGAAACTAAAATTCCACTTTTTGAGGATGGACAGACAACAATGATTCAAATTATTTACTAGTCAAAGTTCAAAATTAAAAGCTCTGGCTCCAGGTTTGCTGCCAAGTGATTGCTAATCAAATTCACTACTTCGCGGCAACAGCGCTCATGCCAGACAGTAAAGGAAAATTTTCTTTACGATAGGATAAGATTGCCAACCCTCTTTTCTAAAGTTAGATTCTTGCTCTTTGTCATAACTCATTTCATTTATATCTTCTGCTGGAGTAGAACGAGACAGTAGAAGTATAGAAAAAATTCAGCATACCGAAATGACATGCTAATTACAATAAACTTTACATAGTGTCTCAATTGTGAATTTTAAGAAACTAAAAGCATTTCTGAAAACTCAAAAAGGTATGGAAACAAAAATTCATGATTTTCTTTAATATAATAGTTTCTATAATATTTTCTGAAATAAAGAACATTAATGTTCAATCGCACCGCTATAGGAAGCAAGAACAAAACCGGAAACATAATCTGAAAATTTTTAGGTTTGCATTTTGAAATGCATTCATTCACATAAAACATGCTCTCTTTCTTCAGTAGCACTGTAAACTATTTTATGTTAATTAACTCATTTTTATTAACTAATTTTAAATTTTTACTAATTAACTAATTTTAAATTTTTACTATATATTCTCCTTTTTATTGGCCGTCACCAAATCAAGTGTATTTAAGCGAGGGTTTTCACTGTTTCAGAAATAAATCTTTTGGCAACAAAGCTAGCAGCTTTATTTTCTCCCCAGCCCCTCACCCAGCTCTGTTTGCTAATACTTTGGTATTAGCCATTTTTCTAGCCGATGTTAAATGCGCAATTAAAATTTTGAGCAGCTTAGGCCAAATTTTATAATCTCTAGTTGCGATACTTTTTAAATTGTAAATTCAGCTTTATGATACTTTACTACCCGCAAGCGGCGGAGTTTTGTTTATACGCACTAATGATACCTTATGTTTAAATTCTTAAGAGTTATTTGAAACTTTCATATGACTTTGTTGTGTTCAAATTAGATGGAGAAATAACTCGTTTGTCAGTCTACTAGCCTCTGAAGGACATTTGAGTTAATATTGCGCAATTAGATCTCTATGACATAACACTGTTTCTCATTTATTCAGAATAATACAGAAGATTTTTGGTTAACATTGTGATTAATCAAGTTTTGAGAGAAACTGTAATAGAAGAATATAAGAAAAATAAACTAGTAGTCTCAAGAAATAAGATTTTATATTTAAATTTCCTCTAACTACTGAAGGTTTGCAAAGATTTATGTCCTCTGAATATCTTTTAGCTGTTTCAATTGCTAAATAACAAGCATTTTACCCAAAACTAATAGGGATTCAATTGTCTCTATAAATATGATTATTCAAAACCTGTTTCTCACGAAAGTACTTGAAATTCTTGGTATGAGGTAGCAAAATAACTAACAATTGATTACAGCTTAATTCGAAATTTCGCTAAATGGGCTGAGGCTTAGCCCTTAACTGGTCATCTAAGCCAACAAAGCCTTGTTTGAGATTTTAGGAGGCCCAAAATCATATAACAGGTTTTCATAATTCTGTTCTTTCCGCTTAAAAATATAAGAAAAATGGGCATTAAGGTCTTCCGAAAGAACATTGGGCCTAAGACCTCAGACTATTTTATTTGGGCTCTGAAAATAATCTAGTTTATGGCTTCGGGACAAGCTTTTATAACATCTGTGTAAACCAAAGAAAAAAAAGAAATACTTTAATGAAGTAACATAATTCAATAAAATTTATCGTATATTAAAGCCATTATTTTCCTTTATTATGACTAAGATCTTCTTTAAGGTCTTGGTCAGGACATCTAATTGTAATGTTGTTACTAATGACATTCATAACTTCAAAAGAGAGTTAATTTCTTAAATGTTTCTTCCCCACATATGCTTTCGTGCAAGGTCGGGCTTCTGTCTGCCGTGTCTTCCTCCTCGAAAGAAAAAGAAAAGATCCAAAGAAATCAAGCAAACAACTCTTTGAGGTAGACACGTGAGGGGATGTGGGTTGGTTCCTAAAAGTCAATGTCAAGTACGCTTTTTGTTCTGAAAGGTGTGACGAACGTCTTTCCTTTGGATAGTTCTTTTATTTTTATTTTGATTGAGTACTTCTATGTTCCCGTTAGAGCACAACACGATACCTACATATTCTTGAATAATCAGTACATCCAATTTCATATTCTTGCACAGTAATTTAGTTGGTATATATATACATATATATATACAAAAAAAAAAATTGTGAAAAATGACAGTGCTTATATAATTGTACAAACTTAAAAGCTACAACTGGAATTTATCTTCTATGTAAATAGAAGATGGATTTTAGATGTGAAAAACAAATACAAAATTTAAGTTATTTTCAAATGAGATTATTAATGAATATTTAAATAAATTTTAGCAGTAAATACTTAAACAAATCTCAAAGCCATTCCATATACTTATAGTTTATTAAATTTCATACATCAAATAAAATTACCCTTCATAAAGTTAATAATATGTCACGGAATTTGTAATAGAAAATACATTTCCCATTAAGCTGATTTAAGCTTTCCATTTTCTGACCATGTTTTGCCACTTCATTTCTAGTGAACTAGGTTTTAGAAAATTTTATTATGAATTAATTCTTTTAATATATAAAGAATTTTTATCAAACTTTCTCATGCTTCTGAAATGTGTTAAACTGAAGTGGATGAGATTAACTTTCACTGAAAAGCAAATACTTTGGATTAAATTGTATAAGTATGAACACAAAATGCATTAAACGACTATAAATAAAATATTTTAAATATGAGTGTCAGAGTGTTCTAGGATGCTTGTATTTATGAGTACTGATGTTAGATAACTTTAAATACTAGAAATTTCAGTAGGAACTGATGCAATTTAACGACAGAAGTATCATGCTTTTCTAAAAATGCTTCCAAATAAGCAATTTTAACCGTCATAGTAAAAATACAAAACTGGATATTAATTTCTTTGCATAGTGATAAATCAATTTTCTCATTCCAGTTTAGTTCGCAAACATGAATAACAAGTCATGAAAATTTGAATTGTTTTATTACACTTGACGAAAAATCTCGTTGACATTGTGTAAAATACACTGTGCAAAATTAAGAAAATTTGCAAACAAAAAGTAATTTGCAAATTAATAAAATTTGCAAATTACTTTTTGTTTATTTATTTTTTACGCAAGGTATTGAACCAAAGTTACTAATTATGCCGCCAAAGAATTATGCAAATATTCAGAGTCGAATGCATAAGCGTAAACATTGCGTGCCTGCGGAGTTATTTTTGTGCAGGGGGTGCAAGCGTATGAGGTGTTTATGGAGGTTTGTATGCTCGTACTCCCTGCCAACATTCGCCGTGCTTCTCGCGAAAGTTAGGTAAATTTTATAAGCTGTCAGGTAAAATCAATAGCTACGAACGTATAAATGACGGTATGAAATGGAGATTGCCGTTAGATTGGAGGCAAGCTAAATTACAAGTGCAGGTGGCTTCAGAGCTCAATGTAACGCCCGTTCTCTTCTGCAATTCGTAGAAACAGTTTCAGGGCACTGGACGACGACGAACGAGAATCGTTATTTGGCACTTTCAGCACGACGACACATGACTGCTACAGCTTCACAGCTCTCACGTGAGCTGCATGCTGCCAATGAAACCCGGGTTTCACAGCCTACAGTTGCCCGAAGGCTTCATGAGATAGGCCTGCATGCCAGAAGACCTGCTGTTTGTATCCCGCTCATACAGCACACAAGACAGATCGTTTAGTAAGGTGCAGACAACATCCGCCTCAGACCAGACTTCAGTGGAGATCCGTGTCTTTTACAGATGAATCGAGATTTAGCCTAGACACTGATTCTCATCATACCTGTATCAAGAAACAGCCTGTAATACGGTACTATCCCTCCTTCGTTAGGAAAAAGAGTCATCATGGTTTCGGAGGTACAATGGTTTGAGCAAGCATTATGTTGGACGGCTGTATGTGTATACACTCCTGTATGTGCTTGGCAAAGGCATCCTGACTTCCATAAGATATAGAAAATCTTAAGAGCCTTATATTCGACTTTTCAGTCGTGCAATTTGTCCTGTGTTCCTGTTAATGGACGTCAGCGCTCGTCTACATAGGTTTCAACTGGTCTACGACTTCTTGGAAAATGAGGATATTCGTCTTCTGAACTTAACCTTATAGAGCGTGCCTGGGATACTCTTGGGAAGGCAGTTTTATCTCTCAACCCCTTCCGAGAACCATTCCGGAGTTTAAAATTGCCTTGCTGCAGGAGGGGGGATGAACTGTCACAGGTACTCCTCCCATATTAGACTCATTTTCAGTTCGATATCACAATGAAGATTTTAGACATACCTACACTATGAGTTTTACTGATAATCATGCATACATAAAATGGCTTTTGAATATTGCATCTCTTTTTTGTAATACATAAATCTCCATTCAAAATATCTTTAAGATCTATCTATCAGTCTTTCAGAAATTCGACATAATGTGCAAAAACTTTTAATTTTCCAGATGAGTGTACAAACATAAGAGCAATTTCTCTCATAAATGTCTTCCATGAAAACATCCGCCCCTTTCAGACAGATAGCCTTTGAGCTTTGTCATATTTAATTAAACAAATAAATAAGATATAAAGAACTTGAAAATCTTTGTTTATTTTTCTTATAGTTAAGTCTGTAGGTTTTTTTTCAGTTTCAATAAATTTTCAATAATATTTTCTGTAAGGCCATGTGTTAATATTTAGTTTACTTTAAAATTTTAAATCTAATACCGTAAGAGGAAAAATTGCCCAAGTTTGTAGTCAGACAAGTTAAATCGATTAAACAGTTTGAGTTAGTGATGACTAAGAATAATCAAATTTTAGACCTTGAATGAATTCTTAATGATAATTGCTTCACAGTATTGGAAGAATAAAATCGCGTTAGATGGAATTTGGGGAGAGAAAAAGAGCTCGGCTGTACTGTTGCCTCCTAAAAATATGTAATATTATCGGTTTCACTGCTGCAAGGTTAAATATTATAAACTACTTTAACAGGTTACACGTGAGTAAATAGGTTTTAGCAAGTAAGTAAAGATATGCTTGTGTGTAGAAAGAATAATTTCTTTGTCTACGTAATTTGTAAATATTATTCTAGAACTGCCTTTCCTACAGTTGTATAAGAGATTAACAAAATCAGATAATTGACTTCTTAGCTAAATTTATAAAAAAATCAGATAATTGACTTCTTAGCTAAATTTATTTATTCTTTTCATTAATAATTCGGCTTTGTTAACCACTGAGAAGTTTTCAGACTTTAAAAATGTTATCTTCTCAGAAACGTTTTGCTTGTTTGAAAGTTTAAATTCGGGATATCACGAACTAAATTTTGATACCATTTTCTCTAAATGTACATTTTTAATGTATCCGGCATTTTTACTCAGTTCTTCAAGTGCGCACAGCAAGAGTTTTCTAGTTTCAGCAAGAGTTGCTTTGATTTACGTAGGCATTATTAATGATCAACAATCTATTTCCTAAAGGGAAAGAGATTTCTGTGGAAAACGTAACAAAGGATACAGTTGAGCATATCTTGGACGGAATGAATTTCATCGGAATGATAGAATTTCCGGAATTCTTTCCGAAGATCAAAGAAAGAATAGTAATATTCTGGAAGTGTAATGTTTTTCTGACAAGCTTCAGGATGAAGAACTTGCCTAAGGTGTAGCTGTCCATCTGTCACCAAATGAAAAGGCTGACCACTAGCCGGACTCAGCTTGGCTTGTACGAACTGGTCGAGCTACAAAAAGAAAAGAGAATTTCATTAGAAAAATGAAATAAAATGCAAAAGTTCGATAAATAACAGGTTATGGTTTTTAGTAGTCAAGTGTGTTTTGTTGTATCCAGAAAAACAGCATTCCATACGCTGTAACCTGCATTCAAATGTTATATATCCCGTTTGAAGCACGCCTCTTCAATGAAATGCAAAACCATTTCCCTAAGTTTAACGGGGTCAAGGGCCGTAAATATCTTTATTTGATAGTCGGTATCTGTTTTCTTTTACGAGCATGGCGAGAATTTAATCAATATTCTTTCAATTCGAAAGTTTAGCATTTTGCGTAAACTGATGTCTTATGAAAATTAAAATGCTTAGCCAAATTTTAAATTATTTCTAAAAAAGAAATATTGATTAATCAGAAAAACGTTCTAAATTATGAAGATTTTAAATAAATGAAATTATAAGTGAAATTTAAAATGCTTCAAAGGAAAACTCAAATATATTTCAAGAACACCCCATCGACAATACATAGTTAAGAATTTATCATTGTTTGAAGTGCTGCAAATGAAATTTCACAATCGTCTAGGGCTATCCTTTAGAACACTGACTGCTATAATATAAAAAGATTGTGATTTCCCACTCGCCACAATAAAAATTTTGGGAAAATTAGCTTTTATTAGCTCAAATAAATAAAAAAATATTCGACGAATCGACGGAAAGTTTTTATACTTCAAATTCAGGGATCATTAGTGATCGTCGTGGTACCTAGAAATATTTATTTAAAAATATGCCAACAGCAACCCCATTGATTTCACAAACAAAAATCTTAGAAATTTGATATAAAGATATATTTATGTGCTTTTTCTTCTAATTCTTGTAAGTGCACTTTATCTTATCTGTGCTTGTGACTGCTTTCGAATCCATAGGTACTTGAAAATACTGACCAGCATCTAGTTTTGCTTAAGATCTTCATGAAGTTTTGCTTTAACTAAGCATAAAAGTTTACGCGGGCTTTTCAGTATTCAATTAAATAAAACGGAAAAAATTGCTGACGAGTTCAGCCTAAAACTAAATATATGGAAATTTCAACAAACGAATAATATGCAATTCAAACCGCTAATTGAAACAAATATCTACGCAAACATTGGAGATCGTACAGAATCTTCTTGGATATTATGATAAAGTTTACGGTGGTTTAGCTGTCTGCTGTGTTTATGAAAATTGTTTACCAAAGCAATAAAAGTTACAAATGATTAAATTATGATTATGATAATTTATTCAATTAATTTTTTTTTCTAAAAACTAAAATTTGGGGAATTCCAGTGAAACAAAGAACATCCATTTTTAATGTACTCGTCTTACGAACATTATAATGTGTAGATATTTACGGAAAGTTTTAAAGCATCAGTTTTCATCTTTATGAGAGAAACATACATTGAATCTACAAGTCTTTATATGCATTATTTTAACTTTCAGTTGAAGCGTTACAGCTGCCACAGCAGCGTCAACTAGTAGAAGGTATTTATGTGTTGTATACTGAAAAGTTCAGCAGAACTTCTACCGGAAATTAGAAAAGCAAGGTTGGCGGAAATTTTCTAATACGAAGTTTTAAAATTTTCTTTACAGCAGTATGAAATGGACGGCGAACACGTAATTCAGCACAAAATTGTCCTTAACTTGATATACTATTCCCTAATTTTTCTGTTATGTTATTTAGCTGACTTGGTATTACATATATCTTCCATAAATCCCTGAAGCGGCTTTCCAAAACAGAATAAAATATTCTTAAATTATGAGCACATATCTATGACTTAGTCATTTTCAAAACATATTTAAAACGATATTTCTAACGTTGAACACTATTTCAGTTTGAAAAAAAAAAAAACATGGTTTGATTCTACGTATTCAGAAATAACGATATGATTTAAAATTGAAATGTTGAATCTTTCTATTTAACTTAGAAAGGATTAATAAATGCAAAGATTTTGATCAGATCTTGAGCAAACTGCTGTCACTCTTGAATTTTATTTACATGTTTGTTTGTTTCAGTTCAATAAATCAAGCTGATTTAAAGGTAATAGTTTAATAATTTTCTTTTCTTGCTTCTGATCTGTGTTACACATACTTAATCAGAGTACTAATTGTAATAGGAAATTCGTAATGCTTGTTTTGCCTAAACACGAATTCGTATAAGGCATCCTTCAATTATAAAATCATTTTAAGAAATTGATTGCATTTTAGCCGCTCTTTTAAAATATTAAGTTCTTTCATGTTACTTACTCAATTACTTACAAGAATGTATGTATATATTTATTTCTGCATGAACTTTTGTTAAAAAAAAAAAAATCTGAAAGGTTTCAGATTTTAAATTACATTTAAAGGGGCGTTTTTTTAACATTTTATGTGTTACCTTTATTTACTAAATATTGTTACGGTTTTTGTATTTAGTTTGCTATATTTTGTAGAATTGCTATTAAATTCTTTCATTTCCCCCATTCAATGCTCGTTCGACAAGTTTTAAGAGAAACCTACCCCGAAAAAGTAAAAATACAGGAGCACGCGCATTTAACATTTAATAAATATATATCTCGTAATTGTATTCTTTTGATATCCAGAGAAATATCGAAAATACCAGAATGTTCTCGAGCACGATTAAAAAGCTTATAAAAGCCGGATCAAAACATCTCGGTTCAGTTGTTTACTTAGTACTTGTTAATGACTGTAGCGAATTCGCGGTGAGATCGGATTAGCTTTCTCTGTGTTTTTTTGTTTGAAATGAGTTCTATTTAACGTTTTAGTAGTTTAAAATATAACTGCTGTGAGATATTGCGATATTGTACGAATATCTCTGAGGAAATTTCAGCATTTTGTTTTATTTCTTGGGATAATAATAAATTTTATTAACTTTTCATCGACTTGTGCATTAAAACCATTACGAACCTGTATGCATGGAACACTTTGTGTTGTCAGAAGTGAGATTTGAATGCCAATAACAAGAACGGTGGTAGAACAATTAAGACAACTGATAGCAGCCTTTGCCTCGTTTAAAGTAGAGATAAAATCGGGCCAATAATCCGTCAAAGAAGAGATGTATGAGATTCAAGAAGAGGTGAAAAGCCGCCAAAAAGACATAAAAACCTGGTCAAGAATTTGTTACGGGAAAGATTGAAGCAGGTCAAGAAGAGATGAAAAGAGAAATTACCTGCATAACAGAAAACAAATATGAGGCTATGGAAGGCAGAATAGACGCGGTTGAAAATAAAGTTGGATAAATTGAAGAAAAAGTTTCTTCTGTGAAAGAGAAACAGGTTACAGAGTTCCTTCTGTCAAAGAAGAAATCGAAGGAAGAGTTTGTTCCATTCAACAACAAACTGATGACAGTGTTTCTTCTGTCGCCAAGAAAATTGATGTCTTTAAAAAATTTGTAGCGACGGCAGGAAGCAATACAGATGGTTTTAAATTTTTACCGATGCCTGCTCGTCTCTCTCTGAAACTATCTACATATGATAGGAAGACCTCTTGGGCAAGTGTATAAGACACAATTGTCTATAGTGGTAGACGCGAATGGATGGTATTCCCAAGCTAAGGCCTGTCATCTCGCCGCTTCTTTGAGAGCAGACGCTGCGGTAGCAGATTACTTAACTAGTTGTTATTTCGGTACCTACAAATATTACTACACCATTTTATTACATTTACAAAACCTATGTCTATTTTTAAGCTTTTTTTATATATAAACAACTTGTAAGTTAATTAGCAAATAGTAAATTGGCTTAAAAATATTCATGTCTATATATGGATATTTTTTCCCTTCACTGTATATAGATGTTAAGATAATCTATTATTTCTCAAAGGTAACACATATTTTAGCCATCAGTTTGTCAAAGGTAACACAAATTTTAGCCATCAGTTTGTAGAAGGATAAGCAAGAAAAGCGTACATTTCATTACTTTCGTTTTTCCATAGCTAAGGAAAACTTTATTATTGAGTATTATTATTACTTTAAATATTAAATTTAGTTAGATAAAGAGGGAATTATCATTGTCATAATATCTTTGTAGTATAAACAGCTAGACAAACATCTGATTATTAAGACCTTATATAAGGAGTAAAGATTTCTACATTAGTTTTGAATTATTGTACGGGCATAAAAATAACATCTCGTTCTTTTCATATAGTCATATTGGGACAGCAGCTTAATCATCACGGCACCTTTAGGTAAGTCGTCCTCTATTCACCAAGATTGAAACCTTAATTCCCTGGGCTGCTCTAGGATAAAGATACCCACATCTGAATGAAGACTGGCTTTTAGATTAAAGAAGCCATCCTGCATCTCAGGGCAAGTACAATTTTTGCTCGCTCTTTTAATCATAATAGCAAATGAAGACTCTACCTGCGTGGCGGTGTTTCGGTATAAGCATCTTTAAAAGCTACTTCTCCCTCAAGTTAAGAATTTATCTTCATAAGAGGTCTGGGCACCATTGTATGTTATGTTATGTAGAAGTGAGGGGGCCACCTAATTAGGAGGGCACCAATGTATCGGGACAACCTCATGAAGTTTATTATGTTACGTTGCTGAAAAAAGAGCCTACTTCCTTAAAAGTGGCAAGCCTTTGTGATGGGGCGCAGTTATAAGGAAGCCTCATCATAAGTAGTGGTTTTTATGCATATTATTATTAGCCCAAAAGTATCATTAGTCCCTAATGGGTTATTAGTCTAGAAACGACATTTTTGCTTCGAAATACTTAAATACGTAGTATCACTTTTCAAATTTCTGCCACCAAATATTATCGCCCTGTATTACATTTGAAGAAATTAAATAATGAAGAATCTGCATGAACGTATGATTGTTTCTAGTCCTTCACCCGAAAAAGGGCACCTTGGAGCCGGAATTTTGAATTTGTTTTATTACCTATTTCATATTTGTTAAACTTTAACAAATTTTTGATTAACAAACCTAGCGAATTCAAAGCGAGCAGTGGCAACACTGTACGGAATAAAACATTTTTATCTCCAGTGCGCGAAAGTGTCTATGGGAAATTCTAAAGATATGCTGTTTTTAAGCATTTTGTGATTTTGCTGTTGAATCGAATTTTATGTGGCGTAACCGCCAAAGACGTGATACTTAATAAACGAAAACACACGAAATGTTAATAATAAAAAAGCAAAAAAAGTTTTGTAAAGCCATCTTAGAAAGAAAACTGAACACTGACATGAGAAAGTGAGAAAAGACGGGGAAAAAAAAAAAAAAAAAAGGAGAGAGAAATGTATGACAGCACTTAACGCTGCATCAGGAATTCTAAACGTATTCTACTAAGCTGCTTTTAAAGTTTTTGTAATTTTGAATTGTATACGGCATAAGTGCGACGAAAATCATGTTTGATAAGCTAAAAAAGGGGGATAGTAGGAGTGACTGCAACAGCAGATTAATAGACTGTGAGCTCAGCGACAGCATGGAAAAAAAAACTTTACAAACCCTTTTCGAGCAACCGTTAAATACTGAAAAATTTCAGATTGTTTTTTCCTTTTTGTTTTTCTTATTCTTCTTCTTATTATTATGTTACTGGTGATATAGTATCTTTTCTAAGTACATTCGACGGTTATCAAAACATGGTCTTTCTCAAAATTGGAATGATCTAAAATTTTTATGATGGTTGAATTCATTTTTATTACAAACAGAAGAAACATCACATGATTCATAAACAAATGTTCGTTGTTCATAAATAAATTATGATTTGCTTTTTTGTTGTTAGAAGTTCGAATGATAAATGAGTGAAAAACAAATATCCATAAGGCTAAAAAAATAATTAAAAAACTAGATAATGAAATAGACACGATGCCATTTTTTTATATAAGCAACTCAAAGTTAATCTCTGAACCTTCTATCCGCATCCAGAAACAGAATTAGCATTTCAATGAATTGTGTGTTTGGCAACAACGAATATTTTACGTTGCTGTGGTCGAACTTTTGAATTCACATTCTCTATAGAGCGAGGTCACAATAAGCCATATATTTATTCCTTCTTTCCTCTCAGCTGCACTATTGTTAGATTTCTTTGCAGTTTTTTTCCCCATATTCTTTTTATCTCTTCACTTTCTCCTCGACTGCCTACGTTCAGGAAATCTATCTTAAAATGGAAGAATGTGACCAGGGCTACTAATTAGCACTTAGATGTTAAGTCTTCTAAATCGGTGTCATTGGCTTTGAAGAATAAAGTTCCCGTAATGCAAACAAGGTGTAATTTTCCACAGTTCTCTTCTGCACTTAACCTAAACTGACCCCCTTTTTTCTGACTTATTATTTAATTCAGCTCGTTGGTTCAAATATCACTGTTTCCAGTTTGTCCCTTATCATTTTATTTACTCGCTGAAACATTAGGCTTAGTGGAAGCAAAAATTACAACTCATATGAGGAAGTAATAATGATACAACCTAATATCTTACAAAAGGAATCAACATCTAAACACTCATATACATTTTAGCTTCATGTACATTTCGGCCAAGTTACATTTTTGGGGTCCTAGACGACCAGTGTAGTTTGCACTTCGTCTAAATCAAATATATTACTATTTCAAATCAGTTTATTCAGTTAATTAAAATTACGGCATTTTCAACATGGTTTATATATTAGAAATGCAGTTTATTAAAAATCGTAAGGCACAGTCGTCGATGACGCTCTCGTACTGTATTATTGAGCAATACTCCTTTCTATTCATAGAAATGTAAGAGTATTCAATTGTTTTTTTACTTAAACATAACCTTAAACTGTTACTTTGTGTTTTACTACTGTTAAATTTTAGAACGCTTCCCGTCCGTTGGTAGCCCTCTCAGATTTTGGAGTTTGTGATACGTAAATAATTTTACTTGTTTTAAATTTTTGATCTCGCGGTGCTAACTGTTAAATTTTGAAAAATAAATGCTTTTTTTAGAAAGGAATAGAGTGTATTTCTTCCATTCTAAGGTGCAACCCTTTAGTAACAGATATCTAAGACAACAGATCCTTAGATATTATGAGAAGAATGAGCTTCAAGTTGCCTATTTTAGTTATTATTTACGTATATGCAATTAAATTTATTGTTATATTGTTTAATTTTTATGTCCAGTTATTATTTTCGGCATTAACAGCGACATCAACATCTTGGATAATATACTCAGAAAGCTCAGAAAGGACTCAGAAAGCGAAGAGAAAAAATGGCGAAGAAAAACAGCGGGGAGGGGGGGAGAAAAATGTGTATGGCGTGGAAGCATTCAGCTGATCGATATTTAAATTTACACGTGATGTTTTCGAAAATGAGAGTAATCAAAAGCAATATCGGAGATGGATCATTGAGCAATCAAAAAAATTTCAGTTCTCTCCGTGCACTCGACGAGTTGACATCAATAGTAACAGATAAAAAAAAAAGTCATTCGAGAGAGATCACAGAGAATTAAAAACAAGGGCTGAATGTTGGACAGGACACACGTACGTTGGTTGGTCATTTTAATTTTAAATTGCTTTCATTAGAGACTCGGAGGCTTACTAGTCATTTATAAACCTCGTGTTACTTCTCATCGAATCTTTCGTGTTTATAATATTGTTAAAAATATCTAATTTAAATCACTTAAATTTGCAGTATTCTGTAATTATTGTTGTTCCAATTGCATATAATCCATTGATTCAATAGTAAGATGAAGCAAATCATTAAGTTTTATATGAATATAGTTCTAGTATATAAATTATAAGATTATACAAGACTGCTACCGACGAATTAATATCAAAACTAATGCATCAAAAAATTATTCGAGACATATCATTAGGGATTTTAAACAAAGGTTGAACGTTGGACAGGATACAAGTACTTTGGTTGTCCATTTTAATTTAAAGCATTATTCGGTTCATCAGAGAATTGGGGGCTTGTTAGTTGAATATAATCAGTTATAAATACAGAACGTGAGCATCTACACTTATTTAAAACTCTACATTAGTCGTAAATAAATATGCATTAATTCTGCATATACCATAATATATATTCCCCCATATTCTTTTTAAATCACTTGCAGTTTAAATTATATACTCACACTGTAAATACACAATAAATAAGATTTTAATTGGTAATCATGCGATCTAGTATGTGACCTACCACTTTTTATTAGTTATTTGTTTTTTAGATGGTTGCACTAAAACTAGTTGTTAATTTCTCCTCCGCCATTTTATCGTGTTTCTAATTTGCAAAATAGTTTTAGTGGCGCAGCTGCGAAATAAATAAATAACTAAAAGCAGTAGATCGCATACTATATGATTACCAACTAATATTCTGTTTATTAACAGTACGTTGCCCACATCACAGAAAGCAATAAAATTTTTCAAAATAGCATGAAAGCTAAAAGAAAACACAGAAGAAAGGTTTAAAAAAGGTTACAGAATTAAAACTTGATGTATGGGTTAGAATATGCATAAAACTGAGGGAATGCATTTCTGTTAAAATCAAGCCAAACTATTGAAGTACTATGTTAAAATAAATGCACGTTAAGCATTTAAAGTGTAGTAAAAAATAAATAAATAAATAAATAAATAGAAGCTATCTTAATATGTCTACTTTAATTAAAGCATTATAATTTGGAAAATAAAAATCCGTTGAATTTATCTTCCTCACCAACAGTGAACCGGATCACGAAAATCCACTGAAAATTGTATTTTTGATATAAAGTATAAAATCTAGAAAATAATAATTGGGAAAACTTGTAAAATAAATTATGAATGTTAATATCAATAATTTTACGACTTTTTAATTAAAAATTGAATTATGAGGAAACAGAAAGAAAGTTTTAAGTTACTATTAGGAATTACAATACTATTATGCCTTTGTGCATTTAACATTCCTGTCCCTCCTCACCTCCAGCCAAAAAAAATTAATAATCAAATTAAAGAAATAACATGCTAATCCCTGTGAGTGAAATTACTTTCAAACAACATTCCTTTTTTAAGCTTTTAACCTTTTTTATTTATTTTTTTTTTTTTAATTTTAATTTATTACTTTTTTTTTTTTTTTCTTCTAGATATTGAATACTTTTATTACACTTTTTATCTGAAGAAGCCTTTTTTAAACATCAATCGAACATGCTGAATTTAGACTTATTCGATCACCTGCAGTTTAAGAAGTACACGATGCTAATAAAGGTTTGAACAAACTACCGCAATGGATTGCACATAACAATATCGCCAGTGTGATGAAGATAATACTTCTTGAATTGATGTATAGTCACTAGAATGGACTAGTTCGGTGTCTACAAGAACCGGCTTTGATCATTCTTCAGCTCTCCTAAAGAATCGATAAACTGCGACCTTACAGACAAGTCAGAAAGAGAAAGTAGCTGAAGTTCAGGAGGAATTTCTCACTATATACTAAGCTCACCTGTTCAACAACCTGTTCCAAGGGTTGACCCGTTTTGACCTGTTCTTCGCTCAGTCCCAACTCCGTCCGGCACGCTTCAGAGAGGGCATTTTCATTCACGTCACATGCACGAGGCTTGACCACGTGAGTCTGTGCTGCCACCACCTGCAACAGAAATAAATTTTTTTCTAAAAATTTAAGAAAAAAATACTATGACTGAATCAGAATTTTGTTCACTAAAGATCAAAGTATTCTTTTGGCTATTCAAAGTGAAGAATACAAATCAACTATTTACATAGATAAGCCAAGTCTGCGCAGTATACAATATTTTATTACCTTATTTATCCCTAAAATTATTTTAATCGATGTTCTTAGGATAAAATCTCAGACAGAGTACGTGTTGTCTTACAAGGGATGTAAAGAAGAAAAAGTTCTGTTAACAGTTGGCAAATCTTCCCAAAATCATATATTCATGTATTAAATTTCAGTTAATTAATTAGTTGACTTAACATTACATTTTAGAATTTATATGTATTCTAAATGTAAACACATAATTTCAGTTTTTTGGCATAAAAGACAGAAATAGCAAAAATGTGAAAATTACATAAAACCACATAGAATAAATGAAGTAACAATAGACATAATTGTATCGCACCAAGTAACATCGATGCAACAGAAATTATTTTCATATTTATCTTTTTCCTTTTAATGTGGTTAACAGTTTATCTTAAATAGAGTTTAGCTTTGAAATTCACTCGATTAGTTGTAAAAATAAGGTATATACTGTGCCTGAATCGTAAATTCATCTGAAAACAGTACTGTTTCTTACAATCAAGAAACTCATTTGTTAGGATGTAATAAGCATTAAAACTGTGTTGCATGCAAAGTTACTACATTAGAGAATTATTTATCTTTAAAGCCTTTTGGCATTAATACTAAAATATAACAAAGAGTTTGGTCATGTAATGTAACTAAAATTTGAAATAAAATAAATCTGGAAAGAAAATCTTAAAGGATTCAGATTTTAATATGGCATCAGAGTGTTTGTTTAGAATGCCGTTGCTAAGAATAACAAACCCTTTGTTAAGATTAATGATTCAATGCCTCGCAATGCGGAGTTTGCAGTTTATCAATCTGCTCTTGAACTTTAAAAAAAAAATCTTTTTGACTTAATGTCACTTTCCTCTCACGTGCGCCACATAAAATTCAACAGCAAGATCACAAAATTTTTAACAGCAGTATACTTTTAGAATTCCCGATAGAGTGTTACCATACGCTTTTCTCTTTTGTTCAGTCTTCTCTCAGTTCATCATAATGTTCAGTTAGTTATCTTAACAAGATAATCTACACAAATTTTTGACTTTTTATTATTAAACATCATTTTCTTAGCACTTGCATCACATAAAATTCAACAGCAAAATCGCAATGTTTTTTGCGAAAAGGAAACGTATATGAAACTAGCCTAAGGTAAGAGGCAGAGTTTGGCTTAATTACGTTTGTAATTATTATTATACATTTTTTAAATTTTAAACACAGCAAAATTATTCCTACGAGGTTCACGAGTTAAATTTCTTTCACAAATTTTATTTTCAAACACATTATAAGCATTTCAGAAATGGCAACTCTCTTTCATTCTCATTTGTGCGTTTTCAAAAAAATTCATGCTTACAACTGCAAGCAATAGTTTTATTGAAGTGTATAGATACTTCACTTAATGGCAAAAGCACCGAACAATCAAATATGAGCGGTATTTATGAACGGCGCGAAAGAAGGAAAAGAAATAAGATTAATTACGTAAAACGAGCATCTTTCCGCCATTATATCAGAGAAGTTCTTCGGCGGATAAACTGTGAAGCCAGCATTTCTGAGCAAGCTATGAATATTGTCGATTCGATTACTACGGACTTCTTCCACGAGTTGGCAACTGATTCTAAAGAATTATTAGGCAAAACTGGGAAAAGAACTTTACAAGCCTGGGATGTTCAATGTGCCGTATTTCAGTGTCTTAGAGGAGAAGTCGCCAGGCACGCCATTTGTGAAGGAAAAAAAGCAGTAGCCATGTATACAGATATGATCAGATCAAAATAAGATTCTAAAATAAATCTGAGTAAGAAGTTAAGGTTGAAAATTTACTGTTGCTGGTGTAACAAAAATCATTCGATTATAATATACTTATGATTTTAAATATTTCATAAAATTTTCTGAAAGAATTCACCGCTTTCATTCATGTTTCTAATGCTAATGTCTTTCTGTATGTAACCAATGTTTAAAATGCTAAAAACCCTTTACTTTAGCTCCTTCATTTATGAGTTTTTTACATTTTTCTTAAACACCTTTCATCCGCTTTGAAGTCTTAGACTATTTTCTAATAATTACGAGGCTGTCAGTAGGTAATTTACTGCGGCATTCCATAACTGATCTGTTTGCCTAGAGAATCACATTTTCGTGAAGGCTTTTGTGGCTTAAGATGAGGGTCATATATGACTTATGAGGGTCACTTAACGTTTACGCATGGAAAAATTCGCGAAAGCGTCTATGCATCACTTCTTTCCAGCGTCACAAATCAAATCCAGGCCGAAATTGCAATATTTTCTCATCTTAGTTAGAATAAAATATCTTTATAATTAATTCATTTTTATGAGTCGTTCTGAATAATTAGCTATAAATTGTCCTTTCATTTTTATGAATATTTGATTGTAAAATGTATTAAATTAAGAATGTAATAAATATTAAATGAATATTATACGTCATTTTGATAAATTTCGTGATTATTAAATTATTAGACCTTTTTTAAACACGTGCATTAGTCAGGCGCAATATGATATCATAATACTAAATTAAAAAGACTATAACATATCCCCATTTATTGTCCTTCATATTTACAAGTAAGAATAATAGTTAAATACGAAATATCTCCCATTTCTTTTGACAAACGTTTACAGCTCCTTGCACAGCAGAAAATGAGTCGCAAATTGTCATGTATAAAAATTTAAAATAAAAATACCTTTATAAAATAAATTTGTACCTAATTTGTAATAAATTTAGCATATTCAAATGATTTTGTAGTTAATTTTCGATTGGAGGTACAAGCTTGACGAAATATTTATTGACAAAACTTTTGAAGAAATATTCATTTGTGGCTAGTAATGAGTGCAATAAACAATAAAATGTAGTAGTTTATTTCAATTTTGAATAAAAAAGAATTTTTGGCTAGTTATGTCCAGATATCTTCAGTATCCGTCAAAGCCAATCATTCTTCTTTAACTGAGTATTAACTAATTTTGCTTCTATTACAGTAAGGTAATTAAAAAAAAACTGATTTGTTACCAGTATCTTATTTAAGAGTTCATAAATCAATCTCGCGCGGATCTTTTTCCCAAGCTGACCTACTAAGGGATTTGAATTAACATTATGTGTCAAGTACTCCACAAAAGTCTTTTTTTTTACGCCTGAAAGTACATCTGAATGGACACATCTGTGATGTTAATATAATATCTATTCAATTCCTTAGATGAATTATTTCTTATGTTGAATATTTATCAAGATAGCAAACTAATTAATGATAATTCCATCCATATGATCATAAAGAAAACTGACGCAGCTTAATGGCTGTCTATGGCCTTATAGGGCAAAAGTTCGAGCCTTAAAAACAGAAAGAAAAGAAAAGAAAATTACGTAATTACTACTCGAGTAATTATTACCTACGCTTTCTTTGCCAGGACTAAAAATCACAATAGAGGTTTAAAATTTTGTATGTGCATGATTATCACAGATGACAGACTTCGTTCAGTTTGTTAAGAGTGTGAAAATTCACGCAGATTTTATAAGAACGAAGTTTAAAATTATTTAACCTCAATCAGTTACTTTCGAAGCAAGCAATCGACTCTTCCATTTAAGACCACATCTACTGAGTCAATCTTTTGAAATTACGATCTGTATTCTAAAATTATGTCATTTGAGACATTTTATTTAATTAATTTTTATATCTTCTAGTGTTATTTCTGCACATATTGTTTTGCTATTCATGTATTTTGTCAGGCATAAATCATAAATGGCAAATATGCTCTCGCAGCTAATAGATTAATTTAATTATACCATGGACAAAATTTGTTTATTTCATATAAAACTCCCTTAAAATTTAAGAAAGTAAATTTTATTTACCTGTTTATTCCATTATTTAGCTGTAAGCATCATGAAAACACTTTGCAGGCTGCTAACACAAAAGTACCGTTAATATTTATAACAACTAAAATTTTTGGCAAATAAAAGTTTATTAGGGTAAGGTTACGAAAGTCGTTCACCAGTTAAATCGTAACTTTTAAATATTAGGCATAATATCACGCCATCTGCGCCTCTTCTGGCAAAACGAGATACCCCGAGTTAAACCATATTGTTTCACATCGTGTTTGTCTCCCTGTAATATTTGTGAGGAAGATCGCAAAGAGAATATGATTCAGTAGCGTAAAACGCAAAAAAGGGGTATGGCGACTTAAAAGACAAGAAAATGAAAAAAATATCTTTGTAATAATTGTTGGACTTAATTATATAAATAAATTCATTAGGAAAATAAAGTTTTATTATAATTGCCCAATTTAAACATAGCATGACTCAGATTACTGGTTGTCTAAGTCGTATTAATATGTTCCTGTTCATAAATGTTAAGAGAGTAGCCAATATGCAATTTTATTGCAATAAATATTAGCAATAACAACGCAAGATATTATTGCCACCCATAATTTTTATTTTGTTCATAGATCCTGCGATTTATACATATTTCTTAATTTGCGGGTACAACTTACAAAACCTTATCCTAATTTCTGTAACTATTCCTATAAAATCATTTTTATAAATCCCTAATAATCGTAATGGGAATTGACAGACAATAGTGTTTTGTTATTTTCTGGGGGGGGGATGTTAACAATGGCTTAGGAGTGTCCTATTGTACACTTTGCTTTACCAACTACCTATTCTCAGTTCCTTTCAGAAACAATGTTTCTAATTTATGTGCGAGAACTGAAGTGGTTAAATGGTCTAGTTTCTGATACTTTCCAAAACACTTTTCGGCGTTTTCTGGGCGATCTAACTAAAATATTTCCGTATGCATTTGATTTCTTTCTTGCCTGAAATTTTTGAGTGAGAATACAGATGTGTTTTTGAGTTTAATT